GGCAGGACGGGCGGTAAAATACAGCTTGATCATGAAAGGTGGCCGACGTGACATAAAAAAGGCACTGGCTACATGTAAGTTTTGTTGACAGTACGATCACGCGTTGTTGGCCGAAAAAACTCTGGAGGCTATCGTAACACATTATTACGTCTACACGTATTTGTTGCATATTTCAAGATGATTGGCAAACAGTAACGTTCGTGTTACAGTAGTAAGGTTACACTCGAGGTAGTGAGTACAAGGACCGCGGCGTACCGTATCAAAGTGGGTGCTAGTTTTAAGTGTTGACTATTTTATCTGTTCGCCGTATTTGTTTAGATCTTGTAACGTGTTAAAACTGTTACTTTGCAAGAAGTGAGGCTTGCCCGTTCGATCTTGACAGGACATACTAGTATGCTAGTAAAACTAATAGTGTATGACGCGCCTCCTCAATAAATTGTAACGATAAAACTCTTGAATGTGTAATTCCTCTTTAAAAGAGATGTCAAACAGCAAAGTGCTCCTCAACATTCAGAAAGTAACGTCCAGTGGGTCAACTACATGTAAATATAATTAAACATAATCTCGACACAATCTGACGGGAAACAAAAATTGAGTTGACGGACGGAAAAAAATCAAGCTGACTAGAACTCTGATTATGTCGGTTTAAACCGACAGTACATTTTAATACAGTACCGAGAAACGCCACGGCTAAAAATTTTCTCTAGATCACGAAATGATAAAAAATATTACAATCGGCGTCAAGTGTTGGTCTGCGTGGATCTTTGGTCACATTTTCGCCTAGATATGCTACACAAATAACACCGTGAACCAGTGCTTGTAAACTTGCCCCATTTTCAATGTTAACTGAGAAGTTCCATCTGTATTCAACTTATTTTAATGCCCGTATAAACGCAAGAATCCATCCAACACGCTTCAGTGGTCGGTCGAGATGACAAGTGTTAGCCATGTTAGCAGCTGTCTTGAATTCTTTCCGAAGCCTCGCTAGATCTCATAAAATGCACGAGGGCCTAACTGATTTTGGACCCCTGGCGGCTTTCCTCGTACTGTAGCAGAAATTCTGGATTCTTTCTAAATTATATGTGTACGTGTATGAAAAGAACGATTTATCAACAACGGAATAGATAAACACAAAATCGTCGCCTGTGTTTTTTTAAAACATCATACTTGTTACACTTGGAATGGGTAAATAGGTTTTGTACAAACCTATACAGTTTATTTCCCTCTTTGCTCTTTGTGTACTGCACTGTATCGCAAAGAGAGATGAGGAGTACATTCTATATTAGCCGTGTAAAAATCGAGTATCAGCGCTCAAAAAACTAAAGAAGTAACATTTGCAAAGCAAATGCGTAATGTTTACCTTCGCATATATACGGTCTGCTCTATTAACATTTATATATAGTCAGACAGGAGTCTAAATCCCTCTTGCTATAAAATTGCAACATGATGTAACCCAACACTAGTTACCATGGTAACAGACAGTCTGGTTATTTTTTTCCCTTGGTAAACATATATTTATTTTGTATGTATCTTTTCATGATGTCTTGTTTTGACCTGTACTTAGCCCAGTGTGGCAAAAATGTGCAATAAAGGTCGTCATTCATTCATTATGAATGATAGTTTTATACCATTCATTTTTAAATTAAAACAAACACCGCCGCTCAAAGAAGTATGCGAAGGAGACTAGATTTTTTTTCCAGACCTGATCAGGTGTGAAGGTGAAGTATCCTGAGGCTGTCCATGTCCTTTGTGTTACCGATACAAGACGCCCGAGTACGATAATCTCCAAGCAGATCTTTCGGTGGCTGCAAAGACAGAATCAAATCGACCAGACAGTATCAATTTGCCAGACAGTTACCATCTATCTTTTACCATACATTTGCTTAAAGCCCCCGTCACACATTCAGAACCTTCCCCCGACCACTAACCAACCAAGGTTGGGAGCAGTCTCGCCATATATTTAAGCCACGCCTGACTTTCGATAAGAATCGAATCACTTCAATTTGAGTCGAATTTGCCTTCCAACCACGCCCCGACCACTGCAGACCTACTCCCGATCACCAGCCAACTAGTCCCCAACCATGACCCAACCTCCCGTCCAATCCCAAATGTTTTGAATATTTCTAAACATTTGGTTGGTGCAGCCGAGCAGTAGCCAACCTCGCCAAACACCATCCGACCAGATCCGAACTTGCTCCCGACCTATTCCCAACCATGGTTTTGAGGGAGTGTTCGGGAGATCACATTCAGCTATGCGTGACATGGGCTTAAGGTTAGCCATAAAACGCTCAGTAGTATTTTCGTTGTGGTTTAAGTTACTGTTTACAATGTACCTCACGTATACCGCATACCCCGGGTAGAACATAGCCCATGGCTACAGCGGAACCTCAATGGTTACTGTGGGCAAAATTGACGTCAGCTACACCGACTGTACTTTTGACATTTGCCTTCCAGTGCCTTAGGGCCGACAGTAACAAGCCTTCGGTATGCAGTCTTGACGCAAAGTAACATTTAAGCGATCGTCAATCTTACCTGTAAGACTTCAAGCGTAATGGATTTCGCACAGGAGCTACCAGTGAACAATTTTCCACCTTACTTGCCGAGTCTGCCTGGGCTTATTTTCTAGTTGTATACCGTTGGTGTATACGTGTATCGAACAATTGGAAGTGCCCTGTGTATTTTTAGACTGTTACACCCAACTGAATGTGCTATAGGGCGAAATACGATAGACAGCGACTACTGAACGATTTTATTAGTTGTCACTACTGTGCTAGTCTCAGCCAGGCTAACAACGCGGGTTCAAAAAACCCTCTCGCGGACTGACTCTCCTGGCCAACTATTTCCCTTTTTTACCGAATTCTATTGTCTGTATCCCCCGTAGGAAGGCCTAGTGGAGGCTAGCGCTAATACTGTGCCCTTGGCTAGGTCACGTAGTTCATTTACCTAGCCTTATCACTATTAGCGCACATAAATTAAAAAAATGCAAACAGGACACTGATGTCATGCAGGAATATAGTGGACAAAGTATGCAGTTATTTTTCCATGTGTTTCAAGGAGAGAGAAGAAACAGTGGATGAACAATATTAGTACACAGTGTTATTTTTAATACAAAGATCTGTAGTAGATAGCGTTAAATGTAGTATTTCAGTGTTTTATATTCCAATTTTATATCCTCTAGACGAAATATGGTCACATGGTTATTATCATTTATTATAACATTCATTTATTCAATCAACTCAGGCGTCTTGTTATGATACTACCGTGTCCAGTGGACCGGGTGAATTTATTAAATGCCTCAGAATAATACATGTTTTGAATCTTGTACTGGCTTGCAAATGCGAGAGCATGTAATATAGTATTACACTGAAGTATATCTCACACTCACATACCGTACGTATGTGATTTGACAACATATTAGCTTTGAAACGGATATTTACATAACATATTCATGAAATTATCAATCGTCGCATGTACTGTATTAAAAGCGGTCGATTTAGGCTTCGTTTGCACAAAGTGTCGAGCATGTACATGTACATGTACTGTATGTACAAAGTGTCGAGCATGTACTGTATGTTCAAAGTGTCGAGCATGTACTGTATGTACAAAGTGTCGAGCATGTACTGTACGTACAAAGTGTCGAGCATGTACTGTATGTACAAAGTGTCGAGCATGTACTGTATGTACAAAGTGTCGAGCATGTACTGTACGTACAAAGTGTCGAGCATGTACTGTACGTACAAAGTGTCGAGCATGTACTGTATTCATAAAGTGTCGAGAATGTACTGTACGTACAAAGTGTCGAGCATGTACTGTACGTACAAAGTGTCGAGCATGTACTGTATGTACAAAGTGTCGAGCATGTACTGTACGTACAAAGTGTCGAGCATGTACTGTATATTCAAAGTGTCGAGCATGTACTGTACGTACAAAGTGTCGAGCATGTACTGTACGTACAAAGTGTCGAGCATGTACTGTATGTACAAAGTGTCGAGCATGTACTGTACGTACAAAGTGTCGAGCAGTACTGTAGTCAAAGTTCGAGCATGTACTGTATGCATAAAATGTCGAGCATGTACTGTACGTACAAAGTGTCGAGCATGTACTGTATGTTCAAAGTATCTACATTGAACATGGGTCAAGAACATATAGGTTGGATGAATGTTTGATATTTGCACTCACTCTTGTATAGTCAAGAAACGGAACATGTCTCTTTGAATCTCGCTTTTAAAAATACATAATAATCCACTGTACCTTACTGTACTGTATGTACAAAGTGTCGAGCGTACATGTACAAAATGCCTTCATACTTGCACATTGCACAAGAGTCAAGAAAACAACATATAGATTGGATGAGTGTTTGGTAAACTCACACTTGTATGTTGAAGAAAGGGAACACTTCTCTTAAAAAATGTCGCTTAAATACGTAATAATAATTTTTAAAAAGTTAGAAAGTTTTGTCTGGTACAGACTCACTTCCGGTTGTTCTTGTTATTGTTATTGTCCAGTGCGTTCAAATGTTGGTTCAGCCAGTGGCGAACCTCGGCCGGGTTGAAGAGAAATGGTCCCTTGCCGCCTTCATGTGCGATCACGCCGTTGTGTATGATGTAGAGTCTGTCCGGGAAGGCGCCGTACGTGTGGTTAGCGGCGTTCCGCATCGTGTCTACCGCGACGTCGAAGCCGAGTCCCCGCCGGTCGTGCAGCATGGCCCTGGCGGCGTCGCAGCGCTGCTCCACCGTGCGGTGCTGCCGGATCTGCGGCCCGCTGTGGAAACACCAGCCGTCGGACGGGTGGGCCTCCTCTATGTACACTAGTAGAAAGTTGGCGGCGTTCCGATAGTCTTCTGCCAGCGCGGCAAAGTCCGACAGGGCGTCACGGAAGGGAGGGCAGGTGTAGCTACCGAAGCAGACGACGAGCGGCCGGCTGCCGGAAGCGTAACTCAGCAGCGTGGTGTCCGTCCGCCCGTCCAGCCGCACCAGAGCCGAGTCCGCCGCCGGTCGACCTTTCCCTACCACCTTGAAAATCCCAACAACCTGGGAATACAGCAGCGACTTGTAAGAATTCAGCGTCAGAAATTCTTCGATCTGATACCTGTCCCCGTCTGGGCACATCACTTTGTCCTTCGCCATGACGCGCTGAAAAAGTCTCTTCTTCGCGTCGGGCGAGACAATGTTCAGGAAAACCGACGTGATCTTGGCGACTAGGAAAGCCGTGCTGAGAGCCAGGTACACCGCCAGGAATTTGACAAGTCTTACGGTAACCAAAGTCAGAGCCATTCTGTACTATACCGTCTCTGCCCACTACGGCAATGTTCCGCGCAAGATCTGACGGTGCGACCCTCATAAACTAACGAAACCAACTGCCCCTGGCCATATCCAGTCCCTGTATATATATAGAGGGGCGTCTCCTTCCGTGTTGATTGGCATGTGGCAACTCCCCTTATCACTGGCCAGCAAACCCTCTTTATAAAGTCGCGCCACCCAGAGTCACGTGGTCTGGATCTCAGCCAATCGCAACGCGACTACGGCATCACTTACCTACGTCGTCATAAAAAAGGAGGTCATGTCAGGACAACAGGAGTTTTCACGTACACAGCGCCGGAACCGCTCTCAGCCAGTTCATTTACTCGCCGATATACGTGCGGTAGTCTCGTATTTCTAAAAATAGGCGTTATCCATTCAGATATTTCCGCACGAGAACATCTCAATTTGCAATAAAAATACACTCCGGGTCACTTGCGGTCAAGTCTTAAGCTTTATCATGAGCCAAACAATTGAAATTGACATTAATATTGGGTGAGTAAATTGTAGATAAGACTAATAAAGACTTGTTATTCCGTTGATATGATGGAGGGATACAGGGTAGCATTAGTATAATGGGTTTCTTCCTGAAGGCGTATGTTAAGTTCAAGGACAGGTATTACGCACGGAATGAACGTATCGAGTATAATATTCTATAGGGCTGTTAGAATAATCACACACGTATACAAACATATACACACACAAACACACACACACAAGCAAACACACACACACGTACACCCATACACTACCACTACACACTACGCACACAAACACACACACACACACACACACACACACACACACACACACACACACACACACACACACACACACACACACACACACACACACACACACACACAGTCACACACATTCACACATACAAACACACACTACGTACACACAAACACACACACACACACACATACATACATAATATACACATACATACGAAAACACATAAAAACACACACACACACACATACCTACAGACGTACGTACACACACGCACACACATACACACGCGCACACATACACACGCGCGCACACACACATAAATACACGCCTTTGTTAGTGCTTTTACTATTCTAATAAATGATGTTGTTAATGTTTAAGTCTCCATGACCTGAAATGTCAGCAGGTTTACGTCCCGAAATATAACCTTGTCCTTATGGAAACTCCCGATAAGGGCTCGTCTCATCAGTTCATGACGCCAAACGACCCTCACCTTCAGTGCGTCACAGGAAATGAATGGCCAAAAGGATTTAGGTTTCGACTTCTTTTCAATGTGTTTTGTATGCGGCTTTCTATTTTGTGTCGGTATTTTGAACCGTACAGGATACAATGATACGATTTATGGAAACAACTATTGAGCAAATGGATACTGCACTGCCAATTTGACATCGTCTTGTCAATTTAATACTATACTGAGGCTAGGCTGGCAGCCACTAAATGATCTGTTTGGAGACTAGGCTGAAGACGTGAATGAATGAATATTGAACGAATAAATGAATGATTGGATGAATAATTGTATGAATGAATGTTTGCATGAATGCGGTGCTTGAGCACTTCCTGTGCCTACTATTGACGGGTAACAAGTCGTTCGGTGTGGTATAGTTAGCTGCCGCCGCGCCGCGTGCCTACGAAGCTGGTGTGTTACGCCGAAGGGCTGTTATACCGGCTATACTGATACAGATACAGATACTAGCCGTTCTAAAATTTCCCTCCATTCTCTTGCACACGTGAGATGCCAGCCTAATTGCCAGAAATTGCTGAGCCAGTAACTGTGCAAGAACGTTTTCACTACATATCAACACACTGCAGCAAATGACAGTATTATTTGACTAAACATATTTTGTATTTTCAAATGACCCCTTCAAATGACACTCCTCCTAACTTGATCTCTATGAAAAGCGGCCCTGATGTCCGAATAGAGCAGTTTTTTAGTATAAATAAGGTCACAAACAAACAAACAAAAGCAGCTCATGTAGATTCCGAATGCTATCAGAAGAAGAATTATATTGCCCAGCAATCATACATGGTACAATGTATTGTATGGAAACAACTTGAACATGGTACAAAATAAATCTAGGGGTATAGAATAAAACGTCTTGTTGCATTGTGGGAGGTGGTACATCTAAGGACATATTCAAATCTATCTCTAGCAACGAGTCTACTTAAATCTGTTGTACGTAATTTGATAAATGCGAATATTAGATTACTAGTAGATGCGTAAGCCGGCAAGCTAGACCGTCATCGCCCAACGCCAATGTCTATTTAAAACGGAACTGGTATGTACGGTCTATTCTATTTGCAATACTAGTAAGCTAAACTATCCTACAACTAGAGTTCCACGATCTCATACCTTCGCCCAATGATGTTAATTTTTATCACTGACAAAGCAAAGATTATTGCTCCTGCTTATGGAAATAGGATCCTCATTTGCATGAATTATATCGGTTGATCATATTCTCCACCAAAAGACAGCCTTACTTTAACAAAGAAAGCCATTCTATCATTCCATCATAAATTATGCAAATGAGGTCCTTATTTGAATAAGTTATGTTTAATGATGTTCACATTCACTTAACGTTCAAATGCCCCAAGTATGAAATTTCGGGCAGTTACCAGTATGGAGTTATAACATTTTCTCATTAATTATGCAAATTAAGTGTTAATTTACATAATCAATATTTGCCTGTGTTTCTCTTGTTCTCAATTACATGTCACAAGCTTAAATAGTCCTATTAATGTAATGCAGCTTATCTATAGAATTTCCTCATAATTTATGCAAATCACATCCAAATTTGCATAATTGTCGCATGGTTATGTCGAGCGTCACTTAAACTGCCTACATACTAAAAATCACGACGATCCGTCAACCGGTTCTTGAGTTATCCTCTTTTGAATATTTCTAAAGAAGCGCCCCTGCAGTTTCAGAGCAAGCCGCGAGGAAGCCCAAATCTACGTCACTTCTTCCCCAGCATGAGAGCTACCCACCATTCAAATTTCGTGACCCTACCATGTCCAGATCACGAGATATCAAAACCGGAAGTTCCGCTGCAGTACCATAACAAGCCCCCAGGAGGCACAAAATCTAAGCATTTCTGGGTCTCCACAAGACCTACCTACCTACCAAGTATGAAGACAATCTATTAAAGCCTTCTCGAGTTATCGTGACACACAGCTACAGATAGACACACGAACGCCTCTGCAAACATAACCTTCTTGGCGAAGGTAAGTGTAACGAGCTGGATGCAGCACATCAGAATTATGATATGTGACACAAACGATGATATATGTGTGTGAAGCTCATGACAGAGGTCATTCCACCCTGGTAGTCGAACCAGACGCGATCTACAGGACGTTCTTCACGATGAATGTTTATCACTCACGTACACTTCAACTAGGTCCCCGTTCTATACTTGACGGCGCTCTCACCACGCTCTCTCTGCGACCTGAAATTGGCCGGAGAGCCGAGAGATCGCCAAGGTCGCCATGGTAGCGCGCAGGGAGCACAATGATAGGACCATGGGCGCCGTCACCTCGGCGACAGTTTTGAACTGGCTCCGAGGACGGCGATCCAACAATAAACACAGAGTACTGTAAACACAGAGAGAGCGCCGTGAGAGCGCAGAGAGAGCGCTGTGATAGCGCAGAGAGAGCGCCGTGAGAGCTTCGTGAGAGCGTAGAGAGCGCCGTTAGAGCACAGAGTGAGCGCCGTGAGAGTGCTGAGAGAGCGCCGTGAGAGCGCAGAGAGAGCGCCGTGAGAGCGCACAGAGAGCGCCGTGAGAGTGCACAGAGTGAGCGCCGTGAGAGCACAGAGAGAGCGCCGTGAGAACGCAGAGAGAGCACCGTGAGAGCGCCGCGAGAGTGCACAGAGAGCGCCGTGAGAGCGCCGTTAGAGCACAGAGTGAACGCCGTAAGAACGCAGAGAGAGCGCAGTGAGAGCGCCGTTAGAGCACAGAGTGAACGCCGTAAGAACGCAGAGAGAGCGCAGTGAGAGCGCAGAGAGAGCGCAGTAAGAGTGCAGAGAGAGCGCAGAGAGAGCGCTCTCTCCGCGCTCCGGCCAATTTCAGTAATACATACATATATTCGCTCATTGCAAATACATCGCAGGAAAACTTCCGGAAAACCAAATAAATACAAACAAGAGCGTATTCAGACTTGAAACACCTCAGCATTACTTTTGCCCTTTAACATGGGTGCATGTGCAAGCGATCAAATTTGATTAGCACTTGGTAAACAAGCCACTTAGCCCCGTATTGCACGCTGATCACGTCTGCAGTAGTAGATCTGAATCTTCAGTCAGAACTTTGTTTTTGTTTGATCGTTTTAAACTGTTTGTTTTGGAGTCAAGCAAAAAAGTGAAAAGTACAATATTTATTTGGTATTAGTACTAAAAATGTGGACGATTTTACATTGACGAGTTTATATTCATATATTTTATGTCATGTTGTAAAATTATTTTTACAGTTTACGTTGTGCTACGATACGATTTCAACTTTGAACTACATCAAAACATTATAGTTTTGTAGGTGTGAGAGTGATGTGGACCCTCGAAGTAGTACGATTTCAACTTGATGTCCTGATGACATTTCAGCCCTTTGGTTGCTATCGTTGGGACAATGTCTTTTGACCCGGTAAAGCATAATTGATAATATGATATTTGGTTGGCACTAGACGGTATGCAGACTGTATTGTCTAACTTGAACTCTGTGACCTTCCCCTATCGGAAGAACGTCAGTGTCCCCCCGGTGACCTGTGGGTAATTGTGCGGGTTGAGGAGTGTCTGACACCTGCAGGTACTATCGGGCTATTTTTGACTCGGCTATTGTTCTTCTTCTCGGAACTCGGGCGACTGGGGAGGATTGTTTTTGTCGCTGACGTCTTTCTCTGACGTCAATGACGCGTGTCCGCACTCGACCGGTCAAAGTGCTGTTGATCTTTTTTTTTCAAAATGGCGCCGACGTTTCACCTGCACGACTGGTAATTTATGACCCATAACTTACCAGTTGTTATGCCTGTCTGTTACGTA